ACACGACACCAACAGCTACAGGTAAGGAGCTCAGCGGTCGTTCCGCACACACAGAGTTCCCCAAGACCTTTCTTCCACTCAACACTAAGCAGTGCTACCATCTCTCTCCTTTTCCCTTCTTCAGGAGCAAGCAACGAAACATCTCCTGACACGACACCAACAGCTACAGGTAAGGAGCTACAGGTCAGGCAGCCCCTTATGAGGACAGGTTGGAGTAACTCAGTCTCAGGGAGCTCTTCAGCCCCAACGGTCAGGGACGAGTTGCCCTGCCTGGGTTTCCCCAAGTTCCTCTCCCAGGGGAGACAAAGGTCCCTAGAAGAAGTTGCTGAATCCTCTCTCCTCTTCCCTCTTTTCTTGCTGGCCTTTACTGCGAGGGGAAGGTGTTGGGGAAGATTTGAAGAGGCTGCTATTTTCCTATTTGGTGCCTTTGCCTCCCGCACCAGTCCTGGGTGCAAGAGGATCCCTGCAGACGAGGTGCCCAGGGCAATCCTGTGACCAGGCCCTGCAGGGAGTTTTTCCTGGGGCTGCTTGGAGCACGGTCAGGGAGGGAGCCAGGGCACACACCAGCCTGGGGCTGAGTGCCGGGGTCTGTGTCCAGGCACCACAGAGTGGTCCCTGCCAGGAGTCCTCCATGCCCTGCCAAGGCCCCTGTCCCAGTGGGATGTTCCATGGGAGACAAAGATCCTGCAGTCAATGCTGTGTGTTGCCTCCACTCTTCCCTACTGGTTTTTGCTGCAAGGGGAAAGTGTTGGGAATGATTTCACAAGCTTTATTGCTTTCTACTTGGGGTCTCTGTCTCTGGAAAAAGAATTTGGCTTCACTAGGAGTTCTGGAATCACAGTGTCTGGAGATGAGTCCTCTGACCAATGAAACTTTATTAAATGTTTTTGTTTTCACTTTTTTTGGGATGAGTACTGTATTTTTCCCCATTGCACAGAAAATGTCTACCTCATTTATCAGAACATACCTATGGAGTTAAGTGAAAGAAACCAGGCAGGGTGAAAAGCAGAATTTGGTGACTTGGAAGAGAACTGGAATTACCGTTCTATATATAACATATATTGAAATATAACTTTTAATTACTTATAAACTAATAAATTAGGTATAGGTTTGAAGTACATACTTTAATATCGTCACAGAATATATAATTACTTAGAGAAAGTATAACTGTAACCATTTTAGGCAAAGAGCATAATCTATAAAAATTAAATTTAAAATACATTTGAGATTATTCTAATGTCCTACTGCTCCATAAATTTACTTCTTCTGTTGGATTTGCTATCACATCTTTCTAAGAGTTTTCTCTTTCTTTTTGCTGTGCATGTTTCCAGGCTAGCCCCTTACAGGATGATTTTCAAGGAAGGATTAGCTGGAAATTTTCCTGTAGTACTGCTAGTCTTCCAAGTGTTTAAACATGTTGGAGTTGAAGAGGACCTGGGTTCGCTCAGGGCAGAGGCATAAGCCACGGGATACACTGAAGATGCTGTGAGGGCAGAAACAAGAATCTTGCCCTGGACTTGGGGTAGCAATGACAAGCTTGGCATTGGGGGGACAGAGAGATGTGAGGAGCCCACAGAGCTTTTGGACAGAGAAAGTTTGCATGAGGAGAGCAAATTAAGTTGAGAGAGAGGTTGCCAGAGAAGAGACATCACAGGCAGGCATGCAGAGTCAATCACACTGAGCAAAGGTTGCAGGAAATAAGGACAAGGCACTGGCTAGAGCACAGGGTGAGGTAGAAGCAGGATTGAGAATGGTTTTGAGGCATCATACCATGCTGCCTGCGATGGCCTCAGCATAACCAATGCACCAACAGGGCTGACATATTATTTTCCCTTTTCCAGGAACGGACACATCATCTTCAGCAACAATTCCAGCAAGTAAGTAGAAGGCAGCAGTCAGCACAAATCCATGAAGTTTTTCTGCTGTAGAAGTATGATATAGTGGCCAGTTAATATAGTTAGTCATATTACGGTGACAGCTGTAAGGCCTGCAACAAATTCCTTAGCAGCATACTCTGATATCTATTGAGGTATGTATACTATGATGATTAACTTTGGAGCCTTCATTTCATTAACGTGTCTGCAGTAAAGGACCCTACTATGACACTGGGTTATAATAAGGCGAGTACATACCAGTGCAGTTTTTAGAATGCACAGGCAATTGTAGCCTGCCTTTTTCTAACTTAGTCACTGATTTTGGTAATCCTTAATATACTTTTCATTTGTTTGTTTTGCTTTTAGTTATATTAAGTAGAGTTAGATTGTGAAAGCTAAGTATGACAGATTGTCATGGTTTAACCCCACCGGCAACTGAGAACCATGCAGCCACTTGCTCACTTCCCCCCCATCGGGATGGGGAGAGAATCAGAAGAGTAAAAGTGAGAAAACTCGTGGGCTGAGATAAAGACAGTTTAATAGGTAAAGCAAAAGCCGCACGCACAAGCAAAGCAAACCAAGGAATTCATTCCCCACTTCCCATCAGCAGGCAGGTGTTCAGCCATCTCCAGGAAAGGAGGGCTCCATCACGCATAACAGTTACTTGGAAGACAAACACCATTGCTCCCAATGTCCCCCTCTTCCTTCTTCTTCCCCCAGCTTTATATGCTGAGCATGACATCATATGGTATGGAATATCCCTTTGGTCAGTTGGGGTCAACTGTCCCGGCTGTCCCCCCTCCCAATTTCTTGTGCACCCCCAGCTACTCGCTGGTGGGGTGGTGTGAGAAGCAGAAAAGGTCTTGACTCCATGTAAGCACTGCTCAGCAGTAATGAAAACATCCCAGTGTTATCAACACTGTTTTCAGCACAAATCCGAAACATAGCCCCATACTAGCTACTATGAAGAAAAATTAACTCTAGCCCAGTCAAAACCAGCCACAGATAATGAATTTCAGCCTTACTCTGTGTCCTCACTGTGGTATCCTGTTGGATTGTGTAGAGAAAACAGTTACTATACAGACATTAATCAAGCAAGACATAGCCATGTGCTCTTTAATTGCATCTATACTTTATAAAACATACCTGGTAGTTTCCTTTAGTAGAAGTATATATGAACTCTTTAATTTATGAACCACTTTATATATGAACCGGCTATTGCAATTTCAAAGAAATCCTCACATCAATATCTTTCATCTTTGTAGTGGACTTCTGCAAGCCAAATCCTTGTGGAAACAATTCGGCTAAATGTGTTGCTTTAAAGAGCAATTTTACCTGCCTGTGTCAATATGGATTCTACTATAGCGAAGAAGATTGTCACAGAGGTGAGTTGCAGAAGGGCAATCTATATTTTTAGTTACTTCACAGATAACTGCTCAGGTGAATTTTCTTCCCATATCCCTTGTTCTCATGTTATAACTGAAAACATAATCAGTCTGGGAAAGTGACTGCTGAATAATGCCTTGCTTTGCAGATAGCCACTGCTACAATGACCTAGATTGTTATCTCACAAAACAGTAACAGCCAAAGAGGTTAATGTGCTAGGACAAGAAGGCGAGTTCTCTGTCAAGGGTGCTGGAGATTAAAATGAGTGAAAAGCAGGAAAAAATGCAAATGCAAACCTGACATTGGTATTAATGGCCAGAATTTAAAAAGGCCCAAACCCATCAAGATCTCTGAACAGCCAGCTTCATTTTTCCTATTGCTAAACACTCATCACACTCCTGTTGAAATGCATCTATGAGATGCTGCTGAAGGCCAAGCGTGTGAGCAAATGGGGCTTCTTATTTAAGTGCTAGCAGGCAAGATTCTCAAATTTACTTGTGAGCCTAAAGAAGCAGGTAGACACTGAATCGCTTTCCAGATATGATGAACCATGTTAGCTGCTTAGTGGCTGCAAATTTGGAGTCCTTAATACAGGTATTTTTTCCCTAAATGCTGTAACACCTCAGATGGAGTCTTTTGTTAGCTTCAGGCCATGCTTACACTTTAATGTTATTCAGTTTCATAGTCTGGCCAGTTTGGTTGTGCCCAGGATCCTGCCTTCTTCCCAGGTAGCCAGAGTATGTCCCCCATGATGGCTGAATTGATTGAGCAAACGTTTGTCCCCTACTGATTCCTCCAGTATATGAAAAATAGCACTGATTGATTTCTGCATTGTATTTCTCCACCTCTGAAGGCTGGAGAACTCTAAGGTGAAACCCAATTTACATGAATGCTTTCTAATTAATTAATATTCTCTGTTCTCATTCCAGGAAAAATATTCCCAGGGATCATTACACTGAAAGTAGCTTACAATGATAGTGTTCAAATTGTAAATTCTGTGGAGTATGAAGACCTGTTCCAACGTTTAACAATGTTTGTGAGTGACGATGTTTGGGGTTTTTTTCTGTATATTTAATGCTATCCTGAATGTCATGCAAGGGCATGCATGCTGCCTTTAGTGTGGAGCCTGGGATAGTTTCACTTGAGAAATCGACTTCTCTGAAAGAATGCTTCACACTACTTTAGATCTATCCATACTTGAATTTTGCCCTCAGATGAGTACATACATGGCTCTTGCAGAAGTGATGTACCTGAAATAGGTAATATCTGCGGTTTTAGTGCCTCTTGTATTCTGAGAAGTTCTCACATAAATTGCTCTGTATCTTTCATCATTCCCTCTTTAGAAACCATGGGGCTAAGCAAAGTTTTACAGGCCATTTAGTTTCAGATCTCCACTGTTTGTTGAGGGCTCAGTGGTATGAGTGAAAATGAACAATTTTTTTTTTTTTTTTTAAGAAAGCTATTGTTTCCACACAGCATGAACTTTTCAGAATGACTGTCCAACTGTGTCTAAATACCTAAATAACAAGTGTCTTCCATGAGCATACTAGTATTAGTGTTTTAATGCTATTAGTGAAATGGTTATTACACACATTTTGAGCATTCTATGATTATAGATAAAATCTTGTAATGGATTTCCTGGAGAAATAAGATGATCAATTTAATTTATACCGCATTGAAACAAGTGTATTTGCTTATGTTGCTTCCTGGAAGAAAGGAAGAAGAGGTGCACAACTCTAACAGACAGCTGATCAAAAAATATTCATCACATATTAATCAGAATTCCTCAAAAATGGTTACACAATTATTCATGCTATTATATTGCTTCCTATGAATGTTTTATCAGAAAGTAACAAAAAATTGTCCCTCTAGAATGTTAAAAAATATTTTCCTTAATTTTTTGTCTAACATTTTTTCATGACATGGCTACAGAAGTGCATGATATGCAGCACTAGAATAGATAATGTAGTAGTATGCAAAAGTGAAAATAACATAGAAAATAACTTTTATTTTAGTACAAAGAAGGATAGTTTATGTTTCATTTCTGTTATCTTAGACATCTTATCCTTTTCTTATGGTGCCTTCTGCATGTGTGGCAGTTGGAGGCAGCTGCCTCCACCACTTGTTCCCTGCCTCACACAGGGTGAGGGAGACCCCATACAAGCCCCAGTGCTGTGCTTCTCCCCACAAGAGCAGCCCCTGACAGTCACTGCATCTTAGGGACACGCGTCATCTGTAAGGATGCCTACTTCTCCATCTTCCCTTTACCTGCATGTAGGTTGGTACCTCAGATACACCCTTCTAAGCCATGAGTCTGCAAGGGAGTATCTGTAGCTATCCAGGCAGACAACCCTAATGCACTGCCTGACATTCATTTGACTTGTATCTCTCCATCCCTCCACTGCTCTCCTATATTCCCTGTTTTACAGCACCACCCCACCACTCCTCTTCTGCAATACCTTACATGGTGGATGTGACAGATCAGCTTGCTTTATTTGTGCCTGTAGTAGCATGTTATGGGTTAAAACTTTACAGCTGAAGCCTCAGTGCTTCATGTGATTTTGGTCTATGCTTTTGCTTGCCTTTAACTCCAATTCATTTATCTTTTACAGTTTAAGGATGCCTTCAACAATTCACTTTTTAAACAGACTGTCATTGTGGAAATTCAGTAAGTTTGCCAGTTTGGTTTTTGCACAGTGCATGCTTCCCACACATCTCATTTTAATCTCTTTCCCATGGAGTACTCAGTTCAAGAGTATGGTATGAGTTCAGTTCAGTATTTCTCCTGTTAAATGACAGAATTCTTTCTGTATTTTTAAAGTTTCTGGGACACTGGCCTCATGGATTTCCAATATGTCTGTGAAGTAGGCTGGCTGAGACAGCTCCACAGTGGATCTCCCACTTTGAGCACCATGTAGGATATAGCACTGTGCTATACCTGTCAGTCCTTGTGATATCTGACATGTCTCTGAAATCATAATGGTTAACTCTGAAGTTCCTATGACCAGGTCCAACTTGGAGTCCCAGTTTAATTTAAGAAACACCCTCATTACAGAAGCTCACTGCATCTCGCTGTGCATTTGCTGGTCTCTCCTGATGGCAGACTGAGCAAAGATGTTATTGAAGGGGCTGTGGCGACTGTAGCTGTGGGCATAGGTCCTTTGCTGATCTAGGTGGACGCTGTAAGATGTCCCTCTCTTCCCATCCCCAACTGTTCCAGGTTACTGTCCCCAGAGCTCTGCCAGCTTCTCTGTGAGTGCTTCCTAAGCCACATCAAGCAAAACATGGCATGCTAGCACACACAGCAGTGTAAACCCTTTCAGTGAACCCCATGGATTAAGCAGTTAAGCAGACTGTTGTTCTAGCAGAGTTGTGAGGGCAGTAATGTCCAGCGGAGCAGTTGTGACAAACACATGGGGCACAGTAGCATCTCTAAGGCCCTGCAGCAATCTACCCCTTAAAGGTATTTGTGTGCATATCCCAGCAGCATAAATTTCAGCTGAAGAACAGGGTAGTCGCTGCTGTTCTCCACCTCACCCCAGGGAGATTGCTGTCCCGCTGAACTCAACCCAGCCAGCACAAAGTAAGCATAGATAATGCAAACAGACCCTTCTGAATTCATTGTGGTCATACCCTGCATTATCCTCACCATGCTTCAGGATGGGTTCTCCACGTCATGCCTGGATGACACCACAGGCTGATGTGAGCATGTAAAAGTTGGTCTAACAGATGAGGTCCTCCACACTGCAGCTGGCTTGAGGTTAGCCCAGTAAAAAAATATCAGTTGCATGCCAACAGCACACAAAGGAGTGATGTTGTTAGCATTAAATCCAACAGCCTTTGCTTATCAGCTACCTATTTACATCTGGATCTACTGGAAAGATGTCCATTAATGGATTCCTAAGCAAGAATTGAACTCATTTTCAGGTGCCGTAGCAACTACCTACATTGAAGGATGAAAGAAGCTGGGGGAGAGAGGGAGGTTTGGCAGAAATCTTGTTTTGTCTTTGCATCTAGCTTGCTATCCATATGGATTATATGAGACTTTAAAATTGTGCTGTCTGTACTTTTCAGACCTCAGAAAGAAAGCAGAGCTGCTCTTCTAACAACTGTAACAGTGACAAACCTCTTCACAAAGGATGCAGACATAGACTATGAAAAAGTTAGTTCTGCAATAAATAATGCAACAATAAATTCATCCCTTGTTTCTAATTACGCAGGTATGTAATTCCTTACTGTGGAAGTAAATAATCAGTAGAAACAGAGGTTCCTATCTGGTTAGAACATTTCTGTATCAGCAAAGCCCATCAGACCATAAGCCTTGTTGATTTTAAGGAGCTGTATGTTCAATCTTAGGTAATTTTGAAGATTCAACCATTCAGTGCTGGGCTTTTTTGTCTTATTAAGGCTTTCGACTTCCTATGTAAAGAAGAGAAGGAAAATGCTTATTCCTAAGTAAACAGTAGCATGTTGATTTTAACCTACTGAGTGTTATGTGACTGGAAAAATCAAGACAAAATATATACAGACACATATTGTGCTTCTGAGAAAAAGCCAGTATTTTACTGGCAAAATAGGATGAAACTCTCTTTAGACTTCTTCCATAACTGACCAGGGTAATTTAAATGAGGACTCACTGACTAATTACTGAGCTAAGTGATTCATTGGTCTAAACCAGTAAACTCTTGCTTTAGTAAAAGTGTATTACCTGGAGAATGATTTTCTAAATAAAATACAGATTTTTTTTCTCTTTTTTTAAAAATATGCTCCTATTTTGAAATCAGCTTTTGCAAAAGGTATAGCTAATAATTAAAGGATTCCATTTCATGGCTTATAGCCTGAATTTGGTCTCTAAAGGTGACTGTATCCACCTCAACCATGACATTTCCTGTGTGCTAGTCCTAAAGGCGAAGGGAAGTAGAAAAAATCTAAGAGCTCACAAAGCACCAGTGCAATCCCTCCCTCCACTGCATGCCACCCACTGAGCTTTCTAAACCTTTGCCACTGCTGGGACATGGATCTAAAGATCAACATGCTGGGCAAACAGCATACTAATATTGCTCATGAAATAAGCTCCATGCTCATAAACATTTATGTCTATGTAGAACTGTATGACCTCACAATTCAGTTGTAGAAAAAAATAAGGGAATAGTGCTGGGGTTTTTCTATATTTTTTTTAAGGGGAGTCAGGAAGTCAGTGTTCAGAACATGAACTTCTGGGTGGAAATTCCCTCTTCATGGACTGGGGGGGCAGGAAGGTTTGAAGGCAGTGGTAGGAGGCTGAGAAACAGAAGGTCAGAAAATGGGATGGAAACAGAGCCTTAACTGGTAAAGAGCAATGGAAAAGAAAGGGCTGGTCCAAATGCCTGCAGTAGTGATGTCCCCCAAAAAAGACATTTTTTCAGAATGCTAAATAATTGGTTTATGATTTACTGAACAACTGCACTGCTTTCTATGAAATAATATTATTAGTACTCAGTTTGCTTCCTGACTGTTTCTCTTTTAAAGCTACAACCTATTGTGCTGCTTTTAAGTGTGATGCCCAAACCACAGACTGTGAAGAAAGTATGTTTCCAAAATGCATATGCAAAAATAATTTCTCAATGACAGAATGGGATGATCGTTCTTGTTCAGGTAAGAATCTTGCTACTTTATCTATCCCTGAATGGCTGACCTGGTTATTCCGTGTCTCAGTCCCCTTTTGAAAAGGGCGCTCTGCAAATGTGCCGACCTCTAAAAATCAGGGAATGTGTGTCATATTAAGAAAGCCATAGAAACACATTCTCACGTTTCACTTTAAACACATCCCTAATCCCAGCAGAATAAACCACTAAAGCCTGAGAAACTTATCACTGAAATCAGTGAGTGGGCAACTCTTTAAATGCATTGTTGACTCTTGCTAAGAATTGAAACCTAAATAGGTAAAGGATGGAACAAATTGAATCCTATATTCACAGCCTTCTCTGCTAGGACATATTTTGGGAATAAATTCTACATGCTACCTGGAGCAGCTATGGGAACACTGAAAGAACTGAAAGTCTCATGATCCACTACAACGATCTGTTAAAGCTTTGTCCCTTGATGGTAGTTCTAGGATTGCATTACCTGTGTTTAGACAGGTTTTTGTGGGAAGAATGATTTATGTGATTTTTAGGAACTGTTAGTTGTTGGGGTTTTATTTGTTTGTTGGTTTTGAATCTTTTAATGAGTACTCTGTTTATATTTTTAGCTATTCTCCACAGCCCTGACATGTACCTTCTTTTCTTCTTATGAAAACTAAAAATTTTCACACTACAGAAAGAAAATCTAAGCTATCAGGTTTTAAGAAAAACAGCAAATATTGCAAACATTCATGATAAAATCATGAAAGCTGGCTACAATAAAAGCCAGTGAGATCTGATCCAGTGTGGGCCTTTGTAGCCCCCAATGTGTCTAAGTCTTACCTAGTTTTAGATCAGTTGCAATACTGCAATCATCTGCTGTGAGATCAAACTGCAGGTCATTGCTTGTCTATGTAAGATACAGCCTAGCCAGATTTCCATTCTGATGAAGCTGGATGGTTTAAAAAAAGACCATTTGCTTTTAATTTTGTGCTTGTGTATTTCAGTTTCTGTTCTACATAGATATAGGCCTAAAAAAAGCCATTTTGGTGCTTTGAACCACAACAAAGTTGTGTGTGTTTACAGCCCAATAAAAAAATAGAGGGAGCAGAATTTTCTCCAATGTTGCTTTTTTTTCAGGCTATCTTCAATTCACTCTGTTTCTTCCCTCTGAAAATACAGATTGCAGTAAAGACTGTTCTGCAGAAGAAAATGAGTACTGTGCAAAAGAAAAAGGGATTCCAACATGCAAGTGCATGCCTGACTTTGAACAGAAGAATGGAAAATGCGTATCGTGAGTATTCAGCTTTTTCTTGCGTTCCTGTGTTCAGGCAAGGATAGGGGAGAAGAACATCTAACGTGGGCTCACCCCTAATCTAGAAGAACAGCCTGCAGCTATGCCTAACGTGGTTAGCAGGTGGACAAATTCCCATGGTGTCATAAGTGATGGCATTTTCACTGCTTGACATCAGCTGTTGGTGTGCACTTACAATACCTCAGAGGAAAATCAAGGAGATTCAAGATCATCTGTGAGTCAGTGAAGAGAATAAACTATTTCACGCTTATTTTATGGGTTGCCCACATAAACATAAACTATTCCCTCAGAGTAATTCAGCGATGGGAACTGGTATGACTTGCCTCAAATCCCTAGAAAGTTTCCACTGCTATCAGTGGAGAGACTGTTTCCTGATAACTTTCAGACCTATGTTATTTCATCTTGATTTTCCCTCTGTGGGTATTTCTGTCAGCTCAGGATCAGAACAGAGCAGTGGTGTTTGCTGGTGAAGCTGAGTGGTTGTGCTCTGCTCCCGTGGATAAGCAGAGGGACCTTACTCCCCATATGCATTAATTCAGCTCTTTTTGTAGTTATTGCTGCTACACACCGAACACTTCTTTCCATAAAGTCAATATATTTTAAATATAAGAAACTAGTATGGGAGGAAGATAAAGAGCTGCCAGTCATTACAGACCTTGTATTGGGGCTTTTGGTAAAGATGAAGGGTAGCAATTCCAAGTGGCTCAGAGGTGTCGGACTTAGTTCTTTGGAGAAATTAGGCCCTTTCAACATTTTTCAGGCTGAGAACCTGAAACTTTGAGTGCCCAGCTCACCAATCACTCTGAAAATCTCAGATTGTTTTACTCTAACAATGAAACTAAAGATTTCACTATTATAAGATAACATTAAAGAGGTAACCTGTCATAAACATGCCTTGCAGAGAAATTGCTGATAGAAGTTGGAAATATACTATTGTTTTGTGATCATCTACTTAATGACATTATCTTTCTTCTCTTTCTTCCCTTCCCCTTTTTTCTTTTTTCTTTTATGTAGTTGTCCAGTGGGCTACTCTGGGGAGAACTGCAAGAATGGTAAGTAGAAGAATTTCTGATTTTTAATTATAGCATGGAAAAATACTAGGTAATGTTTAATCTGCCTAAGATAACAAAAATAACAAGTAGTAGCCTTTAGGGGTGCCACCATCCTGAACTGATAGGAGGAAAATGTTAGAAAAAATTAGTAAAATTCCACTGTTTCCTGGAAGGAAAAATCCCTCTTGAAACTCATGTTCAGACAGACAGTAGCATTTCCTCTAATGACCTCTGCATTAAGCCCGGTAGTTTTTAGCTAAACACAGGTTATGTGATAGAAAAGCATTTAATCCTCATCTAAAGACAAGCAATGCTGAACTCAGCACCACTAATGGATTAGTTTCTCCTGTAATTAATCATTCCTTCTATTAAAACGTCAGTGGATTACTCTCATTTGAAATGTTTCTGCTTTAATATCTAACCACTGGTTCTTGTTTGTGCTTTACCTTGCAAGCACTGCGTAGTTATCTAGCATTCTATTCTGGTGAAGACATGATGGCCCCATCTGTGTCATCCCAGAATTGTAATCATAGAATTGTTTAGGTTGGAAAAGACCTTTAAGATCATCAAGTCCAACCATAATGTAGCATTGCCAAGTCCACCACTAAACCCTGTCCCTAAGTGCCACATCTACATGTCTTTTAAATACCTCCAGGGATGGCGACTCAACCACTTCCCTGGGCAGCCTGTTCCAGTGCTTGACAACCCTTTTGGTGAAGAAATTGTTCCTATATCCAATCTAAACCTCCTCTAGCACATTTCCTCTTGTCCCATCACTTGTTACTTGGGAGAAGTGTCTGAGCCCCACCTGGCTACAACCTCCTTTCAGGTAGTTGTAAAGAGCAATAAGGTCTCCCCTCAGCCTCCTCCCCAGGCTAAACATCTGGACAAGCTCACCAGACTGGCCTTCCAGAGCTTCTTCCCTTTTCTGAGTCAGTTTTGCAGCTGTTCACTGCACATTCTCCAGTTTCCACCATCATATAGATTAGGAGAGGACACTCTTCATGTCTTCTGGTGCCTAAACTCAAAACATCTAATACAGTTAAAGACAGGTTGAAAAACAGTTATGGTTCTTTACCTCTCACAACTCCTTTGGCTTTATTTTAGAAAAAGGTATAGCCTTTTCCCTTACCATGGCTATGCAGATTTAAGATGAGGTTTTAGTAGCAATTCCATTCACAGCTGAAGGAAGATTTACAGAATCCATTTCTTCCTCGCTTAGTCATGCTGGTTTTGCAGCAAGATCAGTAAAAATTAATTTTCCTTGCCAAACATTTATTCAGAGGTGGGATATTTATGCAGTGTTCATAGTGCCACATAATAGATACCTCAAATCAGTGTGCCTTATGTGCCTAGGGCATGGGTAGAGCCTATTTGACACCTAACTACATATTTTAGCAGCAATACAAGCTTAAGCAACCCCTACACCCTCCCAGTTGTTCCTGTCCCTCAGCTATAACTGTGTATGAAGCCATTCAGTGCATGGGATTAGGAACTTGAGCTGGGATCAAAATAGCCATCCAGAAGAGAAGGTCAGTTCCTTAATTTACATCTTTCTGTGTCCACAGACAATTTTACTGAGACAGCACCAGGAGCCTGGGAATCATAGAATCATAGAATGGTTTGGGTTGGAAGGGACCTTAAAGATCATCTAGTTCCAACCCCCTGCCATGGGCAGGGGCACCCTCCACTAAACCAGGTTGTCCAAAGCCCCATCCAACCTGACCTTGAACACTTCCAGGGATGGGGCATCCACAGCTTCTCTGAGCAACCTGTTCCAGTGCCTTACCACCCCCACAGGGAAGAAAATAACATCTTTCATTTTCTTTCTTTCTTTCTTTGAGGAGAGGGACAGGACTTGGTTTTCAATTATTTACCATGAGTTTTCAATTGATGTTTCTTGTTTGATTTTTTTTTTTTCCAGATAGCAAACTCATCCTTATAATAGTGGGTACAGTGTTTGGAGCCATTATCCTGAGTTTAGTGATAGCAGTCTCTATTGTTTCAGTAAGGTAAGAGTATTTCTTATAATTGAATAGAAGCTGCATTCATGCATGTTCATAGAGAATTAAGCAGAAATTTAGAGAGGGGCAGGACTGCAAATGTGGTTGCACGTCTAGTTGGGCAGACAAGTTCATTTAAGTCATGTAGCCATTAGAATTTAGTTTTGCCTGTGTGCTCTTCCCAGAAATATTTATTCTCCTGCTGTGAATTTGACTACAAAAGCTTCTGCCAAGTCTTCAAAATACATACCTGACCCATTAATCCTAATCCTGCCCTGGCCAGTACTGGTAAGGCATCTGGATGAGACTGAAGAAGGATGCTGATATCAGAAGACTGTGTGTGTCTCAAATTCAGACCCTCTGCAGGTTTCCCTGCTAGCACGTCAGCTCAAGGCCTGGCATGCCCCTTTCAGCTCAATACAGGTGGCATTTCCAGCCAAGCATCTCCTTAAAGCTTGCTACTCCTGGTGTACTGGCAAATTCCCAATTGCAGTTGCACCTCCTCACTTCTCTCCACACAATAAATATAGAAACACTCAAGCAGCTCCTCTGCCTTTGCTCTCAGCGCTGCCCAGGTAAAGATGCCTACAAGACCACCCATAGCAGGCATAGCTCACCAGCGGATGCACAAGCTGGGGCTGAGTGTGTGTGCGATGTATGGACTTGTGATCACAGGCAATTCAAATGCATTGTTTGAGTGCACAGCATTGACTGCAGACACGAGGGCAACTTTTCTTAACTCAGCCTAATGAACACCTCATTTCTTCCTCTGAACAGTCAGAGTTAGTGGTGATCAAGGAAACTCCTTCACTCTAGGAACTAGTTGAAAGAGGCCAAAGTCCCCCTCTGTCTCCCCTAGAAGCTTAGTCCCATCTATGACAAGAGATGCCAAACTTTGCACTCTGTCATTGATAACAAGGGTTTTACAATAGATATGCTAGAAAAATCGGTTGCGTGTTTCAGAACAGGACTGAGCATTCAAAATAAAGTGGGAATGGACAACTCAGTAACTTGGACTTACTCAATAAGTAAGGAACACTAAAAGGTCTTAAAACCTCCTTTGTTCTTTCATTTCTTCTGAAGAGCCAAACACAAACAAGATCCAGAGAAGAAGAGCCTGATAAGGTCAGGATATTCCAACCCAAATACCTCTGATGACAGACAGACCACGATGTTCCCCAGAGTCCAGACCACTTCTGGCCATGCGAACCCAGGATATCAGCCAAACAACCCATATGAGATGCGTTCCTCAAATAGAGGTCGTTTTCCGGAGAGAGATTATGATGATTTGGTAAGCGTTTCACACAGGCCTATGGGAATTACATTCCTGAACTGTAATGTTGTGGGCTACCGACATTGTTGGAACCTAAACTCCACTCTGTCCATCCTCCCTTGATCTAGAAGACCAAAGGTGTATAAAGGCAACAAACCAACTGTAGCTGCACTGAAAAAAAAATCCCTTAACAGGGAGATCAGGACTCATGGAGACCTTTCTAAAGCCCCAGTTGTTATCCTTGAGGCACATGTGAAAACCAAGGGTCAAAGCAACAGTTTGGCTGCCCAGTGGTCTGCCGTGTCGTAGGACATTTGTTTGCATTGACTGAACACATCCTTCAGCACAGCCGGACATGCAAACATCACAGGCTGTTACAACCTGTGCTGCTTTTAAGTCAGTTGTAGTGTCGATAGGTGCTGCAGTGGCGCTTCCCAGCTGCAGCCTCGTGCAAGATTCACAGTCAGCTTAAGCTGGCACAGCTGCCCAGAGGGTCGGTGTCCTCTCACCCGCTCTGCCACTGACTAGTTCACAGCAAGAGACTCTGCAGTTGCTGCAGCATTGCGAAGGGGTAAAGCGTAAAGTGCCATGAAAAAGCTAGCAGAGCTTTTGCATTGATGTAGCCCAGGGGAGTCTGTTCAGCAG